ATTTTGGTTGAAGAAAAACCCTAAGTCAGTTGATTGTCCTTGTTGAGCAATCAATTGCTAGTCTTGAAAAGTATAAAATAAATCCGTTAGATATGGTCTTGCATTCTAAATAAGGTATTACTTCATTCAAATGATGTATGTTCATTAAATTACGTTTAAAAATACCTTTTAGGACTTATATATACTTCCTAAACACTCATTTTATATACAACCTTACAACTTTTCATTTTTTAAAAATCAAAAACAAATTTCTTTTCCTATACTCATTTTTTTGGTTTATGGTTCTAATGTGTTCAAAAATAACTTGAAGTGCAATTGTTTTCTTCTATATTGGGCATTGTATCTTAATGGCAATGTTTCTAGTAACTATTTGCACCTTGTGAGAAAACTATTGCACTTAAGAAAACTTCCTAAAAGTGTCTTACTCAAATTTTACTTTAACAAATTTACAAGGTAGTCACTCCCACGCATAACAATTTAAGAAATATGCAAAGATTGCATAAGTTGCCATCCCCATATACAACACAACAATCTTAAAGCATCTTAGATTCAAGATAAAAGAAAATAATTAACATTGAAATACCTAACTTATATAAGAAATTTAATTGCAAAATCATATGATATCTGTTGGGCTAAAAATCTCCAATCCAATCACACCAGCGAAAGCAAAATCAAATAAGAAATCAAACACACAAGAGACAACAATTTAACGTGGTTCAATCCAATCAATCTACGTCTACGGATGAGAAACAAGATCCACTAGTTGTAGAGAATTACAAACATACATCAAATCATCAACCTCACTCAACAATCAATACTCATAAGACACTCTCAATCTCCTTTAGTCCTATGAAGTATTCCTAACCCAAACAAACACAAATCCAAACCCTTGTACACTCTTTCAACATAACCAAACACATACCCATATGCTCCCCATACATCATACCTACGTGGACCCTCTCAATCTCCTCTAGTCCACTCACAAATAAACATTCACACTCATAAGACGTAGAACCCCAATACTCCTATGAGGTGTCTATCTCATAAAACCCTACAACTCTCTTACATCTTTTTCTCATACCAAACCTTGTAAAGACTTCACTTATTTATAACCATACAAATTTACCCATTAAGAATCTCTCTTCTCTTAGAATTCTTCTCCTGTAAGTCAAACTTGCCTATTAAAAATCCTTTTCCTTTTAGAATTCTTCTCTTGCAAGTCAAACTTACCTATTAAGAATCCTCTTTCTCTTAGAATTTTTTTTTTGTAAGTCTTCTTGTCCATCAAGCAATATCTGACAAATCTCAAACAAATTCTAAATAAATCTCTTATGGGATTTAAGTCAATATTCCCAACAATATCATCATGTCATATTTGATTACGTGGGCTAAAAGTAACTCTATTTCAAACGTAATTGTTTGATATTCAAGGAAAATCATTTTTGTGTTATCAGTTTTTTTAAAGGACCAGTTTTTTAATTCTTAAGAAACTTGTTTGCTTTTATGTTCAGATGCCTTTTTCGTTTGTTTCATAAAGCAACATTAGCAAAAACAGCAATTAAAAGGAGCCTAATATATTTATATATATATATATATATATCGTTTTTTGTTTGATTGACTGAAGGATTCCAAACATAACAAAGATTTATAGTGGAGACACTGTAGTTTTGGTCCTTAGAGATGAGCTTGTTGAACTTGAAATAATCATTCCTTTTCTTTAATGTGTATGAGTTTGATATAAAGCAGTTTTCTGCGTTCAGTTATCTTCCATGTGATCCTAAACGCTTACGAGAGACTTACCATTTTTCTTTTCTTTAAGACCCTGAATATCTGATAGTGTTGCAAATATATATGTTAATGCATAGATAGCATGATCATATAACAATTGCTTGCTGTGATTAGTAGTTGTAGAAACTTTGGAAAAAATTGTTGTGACTGACTTTGTTTCTATGTTTTCTGTTGGTTACATCTTCATGGCTAAACATAAGAGCTTGTCTAATACACATGATGTTACTTTACCGATGTTTACTTATGAAGAAATTATCAAATACATTGACAGTAGTGATGGAATCTTATTTCATGGAAGCTTAATTCAAATATACTAAATCAAAAAATATCAATAACAATAATAATGATAATAGTAAAAAGGAAAAACTAAAACTTCCCATATCCTATCATAATTATTAAAAAATTTACAATTATCCTTGCGATTTAACATTTTGAAAAAGCTATACAATAGTTTTGTTGTCAATACAACATTTTTTAATGTATAGAAATTAAACAATAATTCAACTATTGATTTTCCATTTGATTATGCATGCCAGTTTTCAAAATGTGCATCACTTAAAATGCTCTTTTTATTGTAATACTGACAATGAGTAGAATCAATGATAGTGTCAACAACATATAATTTGGAGCAGTTAGCTTAACTATAACTAGAATACATGATTTCATTTTTTTGTCTCCGAGGGGGCTCAAGCTTCCATCGGTCTCTACAGATTGACAATGGAGTTCTAAGATTCCACAAGTGATATTAGCAGGGTGATTAATACCTATCCCTTATGGTGTATTAAAAAAAGGAAACATATAAATTATTTAATTTCGCTTATAAAATTAAAAATTTTCAATGACAATTTATTAAATAATATCTCATTAGTTTGACAATTTTTATCTTTTCTTAATCCTATAGTTTGAAGCATGTGCAGTCAAATTCTCTTATTTATATACACACAAAGGTGTCCTAGGATGAAATGATTTGCATTTGAAACTTTACTTTGATCACATAAACTAAAAAGCTGCTTGTTTAAATTATTTTATAAACCAATTCATGCTTGGATAACCATCATTTTAGTTGTTTTGATTTGAGTACATATTGATAATGTTTCTCCTTTGTGACTCTATGGTCGATATAGTTTCTTTCTCATTATCATCACTTCATTTTGAAAGAATTCCTGTGTTAGTATTGCTAGGAAAAAAAAATGACGTTAACGGTGCCTGATACTACATGTTTTTACATTAAAAGCATTTTTAATTATCTAATTATTGTATATTATTTTTAAAATTTTACTTGGGAAATTAAAACATTAAAAAATTATTTAAAATTTCTGAAAATTCAAAACATTTTTTTCTTTTCTAACATAAAGATAAAAATCGAAATTAGTTTTTTTTTTTAAAGGCAAAATATTAGTCCAAAGGCCCAAAGCCGAAAACATTTTTAATTATCTAATTCTTTTATATTTTTTATATTAATTTTTAAATTTTTACAGGAGAAATTAAACCATTAAGAAAATTATTTAAAAAAATTTTAACAAATCAAAACATATTTTTTCTTTTCTAACAAAGAAAAATAAACCGAAAATAATATTTTTTTTAAAGGCAAAATATTAACCCAAAAGCAAAGACCCAAAACATTGTTTTATTGGAAAAAGAAAAACCCTAAAAGTTTTAAAGCAATCTGGACCGTCGATTTGAATCTATTAACTTAAAACCGTTGATATGTTCATGAAAACTTCATTCCTTTCTTCCTCAGTCTCACTTGGCTCTTAAGATCTCGATTCAGGTAAAACCCAAAATTTCTTTTACTCTAAATTTGTCGTTTGTCTATGATTTTGATGCTCCACACTGTAGTTTTCATGATTTCATTTGGTTGAAAAGATGGTAGTGATTTTTACATTTACAAAGCTTTGATTCATAACTTATTTTGCTTGTCTGGGTCTTTCTGGCATGTTTGGTTATTATTTTTGGAATGGCATTTTAATTATTAATGATGGGTTTTCTTCATTGTATTTGACAAATATCCTTTGATAAAATTTCTGAGAAGTTAAGATTATATATAAATGGAATTTTGGGCTTGATTTCGGTTTTTGTCTGTCTTGAATTGAATCTTTTGCCCAAGTAATTTTTTTAGTTAGAAAATTTTGTGACATGATTAGTGCGTGAAACTTTTGTTCTAGTAATTTTGGTTGGTTTAAAATGGTATTCATTTGATTACGTTTTCTTGATTTTTTTTAAATTTGGTTACGATAAAATTATGGGAATTAACATGGTGTTAACATGGTGTTTAGATTTTGTTTTCTGTCTTGAATTAAATTGATGCTTTTTTTTTTTTCACTAAGATTGATTATTTTGGTGAGAGTGCTATATTTAATTTAATCACGAGTTCTGTCCGGTATTATGTCTGGATGTGAATTTTCAAGCTGAGAATGGACTTCGGTTGAGCTTAAGGTAGCCCCACGTGTGAAGCTCAAGCTTTCACTATGTAGGGGTCGCAGAAGGATTGGACCCATTGGGTCTAATGTACGAAACAGACATTGTTATTGTTAGTGTTGTTGTTTTAATTGGTTAGGAAGAAAATGCCATAATTTGCCTTTAATAATATCTATTTATTATTGCTTTATGTTTGATTCTGGGTTTGGAGGTATTTGTACAGTGGCATTGGGCATTACTGATCTTGTGAAATGGGCATTGCAGCGTTATATTCATACAATCTGATAAATTTTCAATTAGCAAAACACTATACCGTAGATGAATCGACTATTTCTTCTTGGTCTCAAGGACATTGGTTTCGTTGTGAAATTTTTTTTTTTTTTTGTAAAATACCTTGCCCAATTATGTAATTATTAAAATTTTTTATTTAATCATTAACATTTGAATAAGTATATTTTTTTCATCCAATTATTATTTTCTAACTAAATATTCACTTGACAAACCATGTTTGACATTAATGGTCATGCCTTTGCTTTAACTCATCCACCATCCCCTTCGTTCATTCATCATAGCAATGTTCATCAACATTGCATCCTCAACCGGCTGTTTATTACAATCTCATAATATAAAATCCCAAATTAAAAAAAAAAAAAAAAAGAAAATCTGAAACCCAAATTTATATCACCCCAAATAATTTGAACCAAATATCAAAACACCCAAATATGTAAAATCAAAACCCTAAATCTTCATTAATTTGCAAATTGGAAATAAAAACATTCAAATATATCAATTGATATTAATTTCAATAGTTCTTTGCATAAGACATCCATAAAACCCAGCAAAAAACCTAGAGCAATCAACAATTCAATTACCACCCCGAGAGCCAACCAATCAAATGGTTATCAAAGCCCACCCCTATCCCAAATAAATTCCTTTTAAAATTTTGATTTTGCCTGATACATGATGGAAATTCATCATTCACAGCTAGGCAACGATACTAACCAAATTAATGGGGGCTGGCAACACAGCAGGATGCGGAAAGACTAGTAATTAATCATTAGATATCAAAGGAATAAAAGGAAATGATCATCAACTCATAAAAAGCAGGACACCGAATTTTACGTGGAAAACCCCTTGGAAAGGGGAAAAAACCACGGGACCAAGTCCACTCAATCTTTTACTACTCAAAATAATGGGATTACAACATGAGTCTTTGTTAGTTTAACCACATGATATTACAACAAGTTATCATAAAAAAAGGTAAATTTCTTGGATAACAAGAGCAATCTCACCAAAAGTGGACTGTTTGTGGAGACATCATAACCATGTCTGGTTGTTCATTGAAGGATGGTGTCTTTTTCTCATCCCCTTTATTCCTTGTGCATCCACTTAAAGACACCTATTTTTCCTTTTGGTAGGATACAAGTTCTCAAGCTATATAGCTTTGTAGGCACCATCAACTATTCAGAATTGGAGTTTCTTGAATCAACATCACCAGCCATGTTTGCCAAGGTGCTCTCTAGTCTCTCTAATATCACTTGTTTTGGAAGAAAGGATTAAGAGATCCAACAATGCCAGCCAAAACATACAATTTAGAATTATGGTTGAACCCAAAAGCTTATTCTTTTTCGCGTGAAATTCTGATGCGGGATTCAAGTACACTTCTATGAATCTTAACCATGAAGCCAGTTAGGAAGTATCCTTTTAGAAGAGGAAATGCAGAATAGACAAGTTCCCACCACTGAATCTTGAGAGCATTATATCAAGTAAGTTTCACTCATCCTGTCATAATTGGTCAAAAGCATTCTGTTAACTGTGTAGGAGTAACTATCAAAAACTGAACGCAATAAATTGTGTAACACTCTTTGATGCTTACTTGACATGAGGAGTTTGGCAACAACAGAAACAAAAGACTAATTGGTAGAACTTCTTGTGGCATAGCTACTATCATACTGCTTTTGCTACCATATCCAATCAATGATGGCAGAAACAAATACCTCCTGAAGAGCCAAAATTGTTGGTGATACGAAGTGAGCACTGATTATGCATATACACAACAGAAACAAACCAGAAAAATTCTAAATGCTCTGACCTGCAGGAGTTTGAAGTACATGCAGAGTCAAGTGAAAACAATGACCATTTTACAAAGAAGAAAAGGGATGGATTTCAAGCTTGTTCATGCTCTAATGCCAAGAAACTTATGTTTTCATGTCCACTAGGATCGATGCTTGGTTTAATTCTTGTATTAAGCTTCACTGCATCTGGTTGCTTGCAAAGAAAAAGTAAAATTGGAGATCGGTGACAAAAAGAACTGATATAAATAAAAGCTGCAATGCTCTTTAGCTTAAATTGCCATACATCTGGTAATCTCCATTAGTATTGTAAAAAAATCTATTCAAATCCATAATCTGAAAATTAGGTGTAGAAGTCAATTATAAAAAATAAGCAGCATTGGCAACCAAAGAGAATGATTAATACTGAAATACAACTAGCTTTGTAAAAACAGAATATGTTTATTTCTTTCTTTTCACTTTCACCCCAATTAGTATACAATTGACTTTAAAATCAGGCAAGTACCATAGCAGTAAAAGTCAAAAGGTCCATCAATCAATATTCACACAAGGAGCCCAAGCTATCCGATTCTTGATCAATCGATCGCAGGGGACAGTCATCAATATTTAGCTACAAATTGAAGAAATCATAACTCTCAAAAAGAGATGAACAAAAGGTGGGTTGCATTATACCTATTTCGTGTAGAAAAGATTACATCCAGCAATTAAGCAACATTCAGCAATCAAGCTTGATTCAGTTCCTCTTCTATCACGTTTGAATCATCTGACCAGCAATTAAGCAACATTCAACCATATTAATCTACAAAATGAAGAGGCTAGTCATTTTGAAAAGAGATGCAAAAGATTAATGTCTGAGAATTTACATTTTTTCAACAGGTAGATTCTGAAAGCCTTTGCACAGAAATTCCTATCTCCTCCTGTGGAAACAAGTCAAGGCCGCATCCAAACATCCATCAACACAAAATGCGAAATTCTCTTCTAAGATAGGAGCTCCGGTCAAAACCTAGAAATTTACAACTCATTTAGTACCATACAAAATTGGATGAAAGAAAACAAAACCAAATAAATGATCACTTCAAAAACATAGAAAACAACATAAAACCAAAGAAATAAAACACTTGAGTTGATATTAAAATCAGTACTTAAAATAGTAATTCATTGAATAGATATTAAAATCAGTACTTAACAACGAAATATTTTCTTAAAATCAGAACTTAAAATAGTAATTAATTCTAGATTAAAATACATGAGTCATACATGATCTAATTCTTCCACTTAACAAGGAAATGGCTTTATCATTTCGATTTATTATTAAAAAAGTAAAACTAAAAATATTTAAAAATTAAATGCAAGTGAATTCGATGCTCGTTCAAGTCATGGTTGTTTTACTTGTGTGGATATATTTGTACATTTAAATAAAAACCAGTTGAAATAGTAATATTAGTTTTAAATTAAAATACTTGTGGGTCTTACATTGCTCTTTATAATTCGTAGGTGTATCTCTGATCAATTTTAACACGTGGTATGTGAGCGATGTTAGGCCAATATTTTCCTTTATCCCTTTTGCACCTTTTCTTCAACACTGGACTACCAAAAATTTGTAGATCCAAAAGCGAGCGAAGCACTTCCTTTTTGGGAAGGGATTTGAGCTTCGGACAATCTCCTATCCACAAATGTTGAAGAGAGGAAAGATGCTGAAAGCCTTTGGAGGATAGCTTCCTTAGATTTTTGAAGTCTAAGATAGAAATAACGTTGAGAGAAGGGGGCAGCTTGATCTCCTCTTGTGGAAATGACACACAATTACTACCATTAATGTAGAGCGTTGTAAGAGAGGTGAGTTCATGCAATCCGCACTCCATTACTGCCTTAACAATATTGGGTCCAGAGATGCTAAGCTTTGTTAGGTTGGTAGGCAAACCCCTTTCTGGAAATATCACCGCATCACAATTACGACCATCAATTAGGAGACCTTTAATAGAGGTGAGTCTATGCAATCCCCACTCCATTACTGACTTAACAACATTGGGTTCATGGATGTAAAGGCTTGTTAGGTCGGTAGGCAAACCCCCTTCTGGGATGGATGTCGCCCTTGGACAACTCGATATGATCAAGTCTTGAAGAGAGTTGAGGCTAGGCAGAGATTTAAGTTTTTCACACCCACGAAGCTCCAGAGATTTAAGCTTGTCCATTCCTTGGGGTAAATACTGAATATTTTCACAATACCAGATTTCAATAGATTCAAGACAAGTATTATCCCCAATTTCCTGTGCTACAAATTCTAGCTTTGGACAGGAAAAGATCAGCAGCATTTTAAGCCCCACGGGTAACTTACTGCTTGATGATAATGATTTGAGAGCTTTACATTCACAAATTTGAAGAAATTCAAGGAGAGATGTGCTGCTGAAATTGATGTTCTCCCCATCTTCCAATAAGCACTCTAAATTCTCACATTCCTTAATCACCAAACTTTTAAGAGTTGAGGGCAAGTTATCCGCCAAAAGTGAAACCAATTTTGGGCACCCTACAATCTCTAACTCTCTAAGACACGTGAGGTTTTTCGATAACTTCTGGAAGCCTTCACAATATTTTATTCCCAAATGTTCAATGTTGTAGTGTAAGTCTAATTGCAAAATCTCTGCCTTTTCCTCCTCCTCCGTTGCACTTATAGAAGCAACCTGCGGACAATTTTGGAGCTCTAAATTACGAAGAGATCTCAAAGGCACCAACCAACCCCACTCAGTTTGCCACATAGAAACCAATTCTTCACAACCTTTAACATTGAGATCTTCTACTTTCATCCACTCGAACGTCCACATCCTTTCCCTTGTTACACATGCAAACTTTGAAATGTAGGAAAGGTTGATTTTTTTTACCAACCAAAGGTCCATACAACTCCCAACCACTACTTTTTCACACCCATCAATTTTTAATTCACATAGCTTTGGAAGATTTGAAATTGAAACTTCCAAATTTTGGCAATTACGAATCTCAAGTTTTTCCAAAGAAGGAAAGTGCTCCGGCAATGGCCCTATCAATTTGGGACAACCCACAATAAGGAGATCTCGGAGGCAACGGAATTTTCTTCCTTGCTCATCAACTTCACATGCCTTCCACTCTTTCCATTCTGGCATATCCTCAAAATGCAATGTCTCTAATGATGGAAACACATTTGGCCAATTCTCTCCATAGAATTCATTGCCAACACTAGTTACGCTCTTCATTTCCCTGATATAAAGATCCTTTAAAAGTGGTAGTTTTCCAACTGCCGGTAATAATGTGCAATTTGGACAATTTACAAACTTTAATGATTGCAAATTTTTAAATGAAGGATCTTCTATCCAAATTGGGAATGCTATTCCTGCATAATACCTGATGGCAAGCGCTTTAAGCTCTTCATGTGGTCGAAGCAAGTTCAAAACCTCTGTCTCGACTTCTTTCTGTCTTAAATTTTCATCAAAGTCTTTACACCACTCCAGCTCTAAATCATCGAGGTCAGGCTTACTTGATAGCTTAGCTTCCCATGCATGCTGAGCTTCATTCACATTTTGCAACTCCGAAATAGAAAGCTGACCTTTGAGATTTGATAAATTTTGCATCTCTCTTATATTCAGTGCATCGCCTTGGCCCAAAATAAAATTAGACAATGCCCGAAGATTTGTTAATTTACCAATTCCACTTGGCATTTCCTTCATTGAACCTGCACCGGCAATATCTAGATGGCAAAGGTTGGCTAACATTCCTATTTTTGTGGGTAACTTCTCAATCCACCGACAATGCCTTAATAAAAGAGTCTCTAAATTATAAAGGGTGCATATTGAATCAGGGAGACCTTTTATGTAAGTATAAGAGTAATCTAGATAGCGCAAATGTCTCAAATTTCCAATGAAATCTGGTATTTCAGTGATGCGGTACCTTTTCAAAGAGAGCACCCTCAAGCATTTCAATCTCGGCAGTAAATCATTAGGAACGTTATTACTTAAGAAGCACTCATACATCTCCAGCATCTTAAAGGGTAAGAACGTCCGTAGTGACTTCGCTTCAAAAAGGGACTCAAATTTTTTGATATTGTCATACTCGCCTATCATATAAGAGGTGTGGCGACCGTGACTTGGACGCTTCATTTCCTCATGTCCCTCCATTTTAAAATATTTTTCTCCTCCAACGAACTGAGCTAGATCATTAATCAGGTCATGCATTACAAACAGAGATTCATCCATGCTAGATGCTTGAAAGAATGACCTTGATACCAGTTCTTCAAAACACTGGCTGCCCAAATCTTCAATTTGCCTTTTAGTTTCTGGTCCATTGAGAAAACCTTCAGCCATCCATAACCGAACTATTTCTTCCTCACCAAATTCATAATCTTTAGGGACCAGAGAGCAATAAGCAAAACATTGCTTTAATTGTGAAGGAAGATAATAGTAACTCAACCATAGAGCTGGAATTACGTCACTTCCATGTTGAGGCAGATTCCAAATATCACTCTCTAATATAACTTTCCATGCTTCACGATTCACCTTTGTGCGCAATAGTCCTCCAATGGTTTTTGTTGCCAAAGGCAAACCATCACACTTCTTCAGGATCTCCAAGCCGATCTCTTTCAAGTCTGGATTCCCTGTAAAATCCTCTCTTTCTAATGCGTCATGAGCAAGCATTCTGAGAGAATCTTCTTCTGATAAGCATTGCAACGAGTAGTCTGCAGCAGTTGTCATAATTGATGAAACTTTGGAACTACGTGTTGTGACAATTATTTTGCTTCCCGGTTCCGCAGCATCAAAAGGAGATCGAAGCGCCAACCAATCATTGTAGTTGTCGTTCCAAACATCATCCAAAACAAGCAAGAATTTCTTTCTCGATAGCTTCTCCTTTAATTTGACTTGAAGCAAATTCAAATCATTCATATCACATGGCTCGGAGGTGACTGACAGCAGAATTGTCTTTGTTATCCTGATGATATCAAATTCATCAGAAACACAAACCCATGCTCTAAGATCAAAATGATCTTTTATGCTGTCATCATTGTAAACAAGTTGAGCAAGGGTTGTTTTTCCAATCCCTCCCATGCCAACGATGGGAATCACAGAATAAACCAGCATCATCGCCATCGTTCCTCAAAAGCAAATCAAGTATCACCCTCTTGTCTTTGTCTCTGCCGAGTACATTAGCTTCATTCACCAAAGAAGTACTGGGCGGCCTTCGTGGGATTGTCATGGGCCTTCCAACATCATTCGTGATCTCCCTTAGCCGCAAGTTACTCTTTTGAGTAGCTAAATCTTCTAGTCTTCCAGTAATCTCTTTAATCTTGGACATCATCTTATAGTTAAACATCATAGAACTTGGATGTAAACCAGTGCAGCAAGTAGGCTTAACTTTTGGTGCCTTACTTGAGCTGGCTTGATGTTCTTTCATCAACTTACGCCCCAAAGCTCGAGTCGCAAACTCGTCCAAGATGTCATCCACGTCGTAAGCCAAGTCTTGGAGGTCAGCTAACCAAAGCTTCACATCCTGGTTCTGCAGTTGCTTCCCCTCTGCATCAGCAAGCACTCCACGGATGTTCCTCAGCGTATTTTCCCACTTCTTAATCTCCTTGCGAACCCGCTTCTCAGTGACAAACTCGAACTCGGAAGAGGTAAACTTGCCAAACAACGCTTCAAAGAACGCAGATAGAGCGGGCTCTACAATGAAAGACATGATGAGAAATAAATTAGAGGAAGGAATTATAAGAAGAATGGAAGTAGATAGAAAATCAAAGAGTAGGATTATGAAGTAGAGGAAAAGAATTGCAGTCTGTTTTGCAAAAGCTGAAGAGTTTAACCAGTGTTGGTTAAAGTCTTTGTTTTTCGGTCGGATAATAATTGGAGGGGAGTTGGTAACTATGTTGAGTATGTTCACATTGGATTCTCATTGAAAGATGTATTATTTTGATTTGAAACTTTTGTTGGAAAAAGTAGTTTAAGGGAAGACAAGATAAATAACAAATGAATAGAATAGAGTTGGGTCCACACGGTTTCATGGGTGTCCTATCACTGTTAGAGATTGTAAAATTCTAAAAAAGTGGATTTGAATTTGAGTTCAGCATTATTTTTTCTCAGGATATTTATATTTTTTATTTTATATTAACCTTAATAAAATATAAAAATTTGATAAAATATATTTATAATTTTAAATTTTTTATTTGAGTATCTTTTGATTTTTAAAATTTAAATTATTTCATCGTAATACTAAACTTTTTCAAATACTATTAATATGATTTTTGATCAAATTTTGAAAAAAATACAACTTAAAATGATAAATTAAAAATTATTATTCTTTGTTATCCTGTTAGAATATATTTATTAAAAATAAAAAAAAATTTAAGAATGAAAACAGAGCTTCTTGATTTTAAAATTTTAATTTAAAATTAAGGAAAAAATAATAAATTATTTTTTATAATAATTACAAAAATTTTATATCTCTTTAATTAAAATATTTTGAGATAATAGCAAAAAGCAATAAAAATTTTATAATTATTATAAAAAATAAAGTATTGTTTTACACTTAATTTTAAATTAAAATTTAAAAATCAAAACCAAAATATACTTTTGTTTCTATTAAAAAAAAATTGCTAGGAGAAGACATAAAACTGTCATATCAGATGGGTCAATTATTTTTGAGTGTCCTTTTGCTAAGGTCCACAGTTTTTCTTACGTACTTTGTATCCTTTGCGGGAGTGGTGGGGACAGCCAATGCTTGCACCCAAATATCTACAGCTTTGTACATTTGACGTGGATTGCCTTATTAGTCTTCTACTGGGTAGTGATTTTTCACTAACCATTTTTTTAAAGGAGAATTTGTTCCAACATAACAAAAATTATACAATAGAAGGTATGACCGTCACATGTTGCTCGAAAATGCCATGGGAATTTACTCCTTATTACACAACAGTTAAATTCAAAAACTAATAGATAAAAAAAATATTGGTAAGCTATGCACATAATTTTCTTCCGATGTAGCAATTGTTGTTCTTATAGAGGTGGTTGTTCTCATTATAGTTGACAATTGCAGAGAAATTATGCTCCGAAACAAATATTACCCTTGAAATATCATGAATGGAATACAACATCAACTATCCATTGTACAATATTTTGTCACAAATATCAATTATGCTTTCTATTAAAATTCGTCACCAAAATGAAAGGGTAACAATAAAAGCACCCAAAAAAAATAATAAATGTCATAGCTTTAATTGACCAGTATAAAAAAATTGAACATAAACATCACTAAGAATACACATTATAAATTGAATTACAATAATTAATATCTTAATAACTGCAGAACTATAAGGGTGAGTCATCCCCAGAAAGGAGAAAAATAATTATGATCTATGGTAGAAATAATAGGAAAAAATAAGATTGAACAAGAACACATCTTTGTGAATTAAGCTTTGAATATTTAAAATTATTTTGTGTATAAAATAATAGACGAGACAATATAAAATCATCATATATCTTATTTGGTGCTCACTTTAGGAAGATAACGATCATACACAACATAATTTATTCTCATAGTACATGATGATTCAACTCTATTTAAAGGAGGTTTATTTTTTATGTTTGGACTATGCAAATTACTGGAAGATAACTCATCTCATTATCAATAATTATTTCTATTTACATGCGATAAGGTTATCTTTTTTTTTTTACTCATTTTTTTTTGTTAGGAATAGTGATTCAAATTTCATAATAGATTTGTTTAAGATTGACTAAAGATTATTTGATAGATAAAAAGACTTATAAAAAAATAATTCTAAGAGAAATGTGATTATTGCTAGGTAAATTTATATGTTTATAAATAAGTGAAGTTTCTATAGAAATAGATATGAGAAAAAAAATATAAGAGAGTTGTAGAGTTTTAAAGATAGATATATTAAAAGACTATTTGAGAATTATATTTTATGGATGTATATATTTGAATGTTTGTGAGTGGACTAAATGAGGCTAAGATGGTCCACATCAGTATGATATATGGTGCATATATGTATGTATTTTTGGTTAAAAATAATCCATAAGACTAGAGATATTGAGAAAGTCTATGGGTATTAATTGTTGAATGATTGATTAAGATTATATACAACTAGTAAATATTTTTTTTCATCCATGGATGCAGGTCAATTTGGTTGAATAATGTTAAATTACTATCTCTTATATAGTTGATTGATTGTTTAATTTTATTTTTGCTGATATAAATGTTCAATTTGATTGGATTGAATCTTTTGACCTAACAAATGGTATCATAATTATCGTTATCCCTACACTTTCATCCTCTTAAAATGAACAACAAACATAAAATAAAGAATTTTTATCCTATCCTAATTTCTAACCATCATCAATGCACCTTTAGAGCATTATGTTTTGCTATCCCCCAAGCTTGCACTAACCAAGGACAAAGAACAATAAAATAATAGACAGCATATGGACCTAAAAAAAGGATTGAGCAATGTTCTCCAATAGAAAATGAGCAAGTTACTATTGGATTGATATGTTGTATTTATTTTAATTAATGGATTAATAAATTCATTATATATCTAATTATATTAATTAATAACAATTAATAAGTAATTGTTATGATTTTATATTAAAATATATCCAAATTAGTAGTATTATTATCATTAAATGTGATCTCAATTTAATTTTGCATTTGAACCTATGATAGGATGATAGGATGGGTCAATTTTAACTAATATGTTAAAAAGGTCCATCATTTTACTTATATATATAAAATCAGTCCATTAGGTTTCATAACTTCAGTTTATGAAGGTAGAGAGCAGTTCTTTTTCTTCTCACATGCAAGCCTCTATTCGGAGCCCAGAAAGTGCCATTGGAGAGCTCGTGATGGTTGCAACACTTCCTTGAACCTCAGTTAAGCGAAGTTGAGTTCTCATTCACATCTAGATTAGTTTTATTTTAATTATAAATTATGTTAGTGACTCAGTGAGGTTTTGATCATATATAACAATTGGTATTGTGGCAATGTGGTGGTCCATGAACCTTACATTAGGACGTAAAATTTTGTAAATAAAAAAAATAGAATTGTTGTCAAATTTTTTATTAAGTGTGATTGATCATCTAAAAAGTTTATTTTTTTTAATAAAACGAAAATTGAGTTTAAGGTTTATCAAAAATATATTTTGATTTTGAAAAATAGAATTGAGTTCAGGAATTCAGTTACACATGAAGAAAAATTAGCACCTCATAGCACTTATTTAAAAATAATACTAATTACTCATATATTATTTTTTCGATATTGGATAAAAATGATTTCAACTTGAAATTTAATGATAATTCTCTTCACCTTTTTTCCTTTTGAAAAGCAATCGAGTTTATTTGATAAAAAGAAAACATTGTTTAGGAATATTGTGAAAATATTTAGATTAAAAAATTATCTTAAAACTTTTTAATATTTAGATCGAATTTAAAGATAACTTTTTCACTTAAGATCCATCATGATATTCATTTAAAATGAAAATAATAATTTTTATAAATGATAATTACCGATGACTTTCTAACTTTTAGGCAGAATATAAAAAATAATTTCTCTCAAATTATTATTTTAGTTTTATTTCAAAATTCATATTTTTTGGATAATATTTTTCATGAGAAATATTTTATGTAAAAGAATCAATGATATTACAATTAACAAATAAAAAAGCCATTGATAGATTTTTAGTTATAATCTCCTTCTACCAACAAAGTGAAATTCACCTAGAATCAAGATAACAAAGAATTTAAAAATATTTAGGCTTTCTTAGATAAAAAATTAGATTAACTATTCACTCTACATTCTGTGGTTTGCAAAATTCTTCATTTCGTGATCCAATATATTATTTTTTTATATTAGACAACTGGTTGTATTATTGTGAATTTATTTTAGTAAAAAGGTCAAAAAACATTTTGAACAAAAATTTAATAATTATATAAATTTATATTATTTTATTACAATCAATTAAGTGTTAAAATATATTTTTTCATTAATTGAATCTTTATTATATAAAAATTAATTAATCATCAATACATATTTTGTTAATTCGAAGGCTCAATTGAGATAAAAATAGATATTTAAGAGTATAGTTAGGTGAAAATAAATATTTAATAATTTAATTAATCCAAAATAAAAAATTTAGGATTTAATTGATTACTTTTTTTTTTTTTTGGCTATACGAAAAGAGGTAGACATCTAACCAAATGTGAATAACGATTAGAGCGGACAATGTAAGAAAACTGTAATGTTACAAAAAAAAAAAAGTAATTACTTAAGACATTCATCATAGTCACGATACTTTACTACAGTAAACTAATTATTTTAATGTCAAATGTCATGTAATCTATTAATATATAAATTATCAAAATTCAAATTATGTCAGTTTTAAGTAAAAATCTAGTACTTATTTTAATTACTATTACTATAGAACTATGAAATAGCTTAATCCTGATTTAAATTGCTAATGAATATAGGAGGTAGATCCTGACCATCAGTCCTATTAAGCATTTCAAATGATGTTAATGTCAAAAAAAGTTAACTATAAAAATAAAAGAACTTGAATGGCACTAATGCTGTCAGAAAAAAAAAAATATATATATATATATATATAACACCCTAGTTTCAAAATCTATTATAGAAGTGTAAATTTATATTTGTAAAATTTTTTTGTGAGATAAAATTATAAAATTTTTAAATTAAAATAAATAATATTTTGTAAGTTAGATATAATTAAAAAAAAAAAAAAGATAAGAAAGAAAAAGGACAAAGGTTGGCATATGGGTCAATTACTTTTGTCTCCCTTTGCTAAGGTCCACGCGGTTTTTCTTCTATCCTTTGTGGGAGTGGTGGGGGAGAGCCAAAACTCGTCT